GAAAAATCTGAACCTACACTTCACTTTTCAGGAAACCAATGATTCCCCTCTGAAACTCCTGTAAAGTGCTGACCTTTACTGACAGCAACTTACACTGTAAGTCAGTCACTCTGTTACATAACTAAAACTGACTGTAACTGGAGCCTCTCCAGTTTTTCTGAATCTTATCTTCAATGAAGCAAAAAGAAATTTGAGACCTTAATCCTACCAACCTCCCACCCCACCCAATAATCTCGTAATCTTCATTAAATACACCTCTTACTTTTCTTTTCTCAAGAGAAAGCAAGTTAAAATATCTTACTCTATCCCTATAACATAACTATCCCACCCCTAGTTGTCCTCCTCTGAACTCTTTCTAATAAGTCACTATCATTTCTTAGGTAAGGTGGCCAAAACTGTACAAAAGCAAGGCCTAACTCAGCCTTTCTGCTAGAAAACAAAAAACACTGCTGGTTACAGGAACCAATTACTATGTACTTTACCAGTCACCACACAAAACAAAATGGTCATTGTCCAACATCTGTTCACCCTTAATTCTTAACAAACTGAAAAACATGCACATATTTATGTAAAAACAACAAACAACTAACATAACAGTGCTACTTTTAATTAACCACCTGTTTACAAGCTTGGTCAAATTGATTGCCTCTGTATCTATGAAGCTATAAACACTAATATCTATTATAATTCTGAATTTACTCTGTGTGTGTGTGTGTCTTTAAAACTTCAGCAAGTTTTTAAATAAACATTACAAGTCTGTTGTACACAAAAAATCTATTTTTTTAAAAATAAAATATCTTTGCTAAAGATTTGCCTATGAATTTCTAAAACCTTTACTAAGTTAGTCTGAGAGAAAGGTGATTTTCATTGTAAGAACACAATTACAGATTTCATATGTATACTTAAACTCTAGAACCTCCTAAATGAATATCAAATGTTCTTTTGCATCCTATTCCTTTTCGTTTTATTACTATACTTTGTACCTTCTGGAGAAGTAACTCCTGTGTCGAATGCCATCAGTCTCAGTTCCCAGATTATTTGTTTTCTGCAGAGCTAACATAAACACCATGTGATTCTTTAGCATAATGTATTGTAGATCGCTCGAGCTCATTAAATTATAGATGTTATATTTTATTACATTTTGAAATTTCTAATTTTTACATTTTAATTACTTTGATAAAATATATGTAACAATATATGTATATAACAAAAAGTATTTGTAGTACTTTTAGACATTATTCTGTAA